GAAGGAAGCTTAATACTGAGAGGATTGTTTCTTCTTTTCACATTATGAGGAAATAAATGAGGTGTTAATTAACTTATATGGCAAGTTAATACGAAATGCTGATAAAAACATATCGAAAAAATGTTGAATGAGTTTATTTGGTTTCCACCAAAATATCCAATCTTGCAAAACAGCATCTGCTTGTAGGCACTAAACATTTTTAGATGTGTTTTGGTTTAACACAGAAAAGGTCCACAGCGATTTGAGACACAATTTGTTTACTGACATTTAACTTGTGCCTTTTTCAGTTTCAATTGATACATTTATGTTAAGCATTAAATAACAAAATCAATTTTTGATGATAGAGATATGACTAAAATGGAAGTTCCTAACTGAGGACTGACCTCACCGTATTTCTTTCCTTACCATTTAACCCCATCTGGGAGCTTTCCTCCCATGATCCTCTTGTCTCTTCTGCTCTGTCTAATCCCACCACTCCACTGTTACCCTCCAACAACCCCTTTTTAGAAGCTCTGAGCGTCCCCTTTCCTCCCACAGCTCGTCCTGTTCTGCCAGTCACGCTACACTTGGTGACCCCGCTCGACCCTCCGGCAGTAACCCAGCTTCCCTCCTCATCCCCTCCACCCTTCCTCTCGCTGCTCCCTCCTCCTCTCTCTCTCACTCCAGCAGACACATTAACACCACAGAGAGATTACTTCCTATTTTCCATCCATCTAGTGTCCACTATATACAGTGTGTTTGGTCATGCTGTGGCCTGCTGCAGCCACAAGCATCTAATTAAAGTCCCTTCACTGCTCGAATCACAGTTATCTGATTAAAGCACCTTGCTGCTAATTAAACTGCCATTTCTCAGCGCCTTGTTTTTCCCACGAACCCTCCCGTTCTCTCACATATATACACACTACAAATCGAGCGCAGCAACTTTACACATATACATGTATATTGCCTTTACAATCATGCCCACAACTCCAATCTGCATGAATTTACTCTCTCTGTCCGTCTTGTTCTCTGAAGAACCAGCAGTGTCATTTTCACCGCAGCCCGAGGGGTCAAACAGAGCCACGCAGAGCTTACTCGTTATCTGGTCCACTCATGTTTGTCTGAGCCTCTTTTTGCCATCACAAATGATCTGCCCCTCATTGCTTCAAGTTATTCTTAATCAGTTTAAAATGTGTTAGGAACATTTTGTTAATAGCGGTTGAAATCCTCATTGGTTGCCTTCGGGCAAATGTCCTCCTGGAATATTTCATCTTTTTCTAATTATGACTTTTTAATATATCTGGTGACATTTTTGTCACAAACTGTTATGCATTAGAAGCATGTTGAATTGTAATCATAACGGATAAGATGCAGGTGTTTTGATGGCCTTCATATTCGACAAAGTATTTCTCTGGCCTTGTGTCTGATTATCTTTAGAGATTTTAGCCTCAAAGAGGAGACGCTGATACTGTGCATGTGGCCAAAACATTTATATCTACAGTGACTCTATATATTGCACCACTTATAATTTCATAAAGGGGAATTCAAGCCACATCAATTCAAATTGATGGTTTCCAAAGTGCTATAAATTCAGTGTTATTTTAACTTCAACATCAAGTAATCAGTAGTGGTTAAAATAGGTTTGCTTATAGAAAAAAATCAAATATGGCCTTACTTTGCTTCCATACCATGAACATGTTCACTGAGCGACAAGAATTGATGCCACAGACAAGTTCAATTAAAATCCAGACTATAAAGACAACAACTTTACTTAAAACACCTTAACGTGCAGAAATCAGACTACTGTGAGAAAATTCTGCAGTGTCTCTTTTGACCACTAAAGAGCAGCAGCAGGCACCCTGATCTGTCAGCAGGTAGCAGACTAGAGGACATATTTATTGCTCCTGCAGGGACTTTACAGAGCGACCCCTGGGCTCAGTTTAAAAGCATGTAAAGTGTTTGGAAAAACCTCTGCATTTGTCCCCTAAGCTCAGCGGCTCAGAGGGGAGGATGGATGGCATCCTGACTCAACTGCACAGCAGCTACACATTCTCTAATGCAGTAATGTAGTTCATAAATATTGACCAGAGAGCTGAAATGGCAGGTATAAATCCTAGAGGAATGTCCTGTGGAGAATAATGGCTGAGATGGAGGGCAATGGCAGACTACAAGAAACTGATCAAACTGCTGACATTCACCATGCTGCATCCAAGGTTTAGATACTTTGCAGATTACAATTTCATCGTCACAAAGCTGTAAACAGGGTTGTGTTTCTTTTTGGAGATATGTGGTTCTCACAGGACAACAACGCTATAATATGATGCACTGCTGTAGATTAAACTATCAAACAGTATATAGAGAAGTTTAAATGAGGAAAAACCTTAAACATCTATAGCAGTAAAAATGAATCATACACATTAATGCACCAGTGATATGAATCTATATATAATTAGATTTAATTGTCAGTTAGACACTGACACGGAGCAACTTTCTGCAAAAATTTTCTTTTGATACTTTCATTTTGCTGACTATACTTGCAAACTTTTACTCAAAGGACCTGTGTGCATGATAGTGGCATTTAGCATTGAGGCAAATATAAAATAATAATAACCAATAAATACAAGTTTGAATCGCAAATGAATGCTTGTCTGCCTCTGAGTGCCTTTATGTGTGTTTGCATGTATGCACATGTCCGTATGCATGTGGGTTTGTCTTGTGGAGAAGACTAAATGCTTATTGATCTCTGACTGCAATGAAGCGGTCTTTAATGTTGGGTCCTCTGTCAACCAACCAGAATGCAGAGGTCTTGTGTCTCTTGTTTTTTGACCGACCTTTATCATCCGTGTCTCCCTTTATCATACCAGTCTCCCTTTTTCTCTCCCACCCTGCTTGTATCCCTCCTCCCTCGCCCGTCCAGTTTCTTCTCCTCTGTCACGCTTCATGATCAGACCTGGAGACCAAAACACCAACTCTCTCTTTGGCTGCCTTTTCTCTCTTTTTCCCGACATTTTTTACTCTTGAGAAATGGGCCTGGTGGTGCAGTTATCTTCAAGGAGGTGGTTCACTGCTAAATTGGTGAAAATACACACATACACATTCTAATTATATTTAAGAGTCGTGCGTGTTGGAAGCTCACTCTACAATATAGAGTCTGCAGTGTGTGTTCAGACAGGTATAAATTGGGTGCACGCTGCTTAAATCCAGGACTATTTTAACCCACAGTCAACAAACTTGATGCCAGAGGAAAGTATGTCACCTTTGAACAACAAATACATTTTTTTCCTGCCATTTAAATTATTTTCGGGACCAGTTCAGAAGTTTACAGCTAAAGAATTCAAAGCCTCTTACTATTTGAAAATAGCTGCAGCCCTGGGTGGATTGATAGGCGTTTGAAGTAATTTAGCTTCATTTTGTTTTAGTGCTTACAGGTAACTGAACCTTTGGGTACCTTTGTCCTGCAGAGGACAAATATGGATCATGTCTTTGTGCTGCAAACACCAGCATTACTTGGGAATCAAGATATTGGTTTCAGTTTGAGACACACCCAATATGCAATATGATTATATATAATGCAATATGATTAATATGATTGCAATATGCAATATAAGCAATATGTGAAATGTTTATATTTAAAAACTATTTGGGGAAACTCTTTTTTTAACTGGAAATTCAAAATTTGGGATACCAGGAAAAATATACCAGAAGAAATACATAGAAAATGGTGGCAAATTAATACTCTCTAAGGCTGTAAATTACTTGATTAGCTAATAGATAATTCAGAAAAGCATTGTAAAACTCCAGAGAGCGTTCTCATAATTGACTTGTATGTAAAATAGAAAACAATGTCACAGAAAGTTATGGAAATTAAATTTGAATGATGTTTGGAAACCAAAGAAATGGGACACATGTAACACCACATCAGCCCTTCTAACCCACCCCACCCTCGTGTGGCCGCTCTCTTAATGGAAATTGATGCAGATGTCAAGTACCTCGTATTTTTTGTCATACAAGGGGGGGTGGGGGTACAATTCTGAGCTATAATTGCTGAACCCAACTCCAATTCAATGGCTGTCACTTGTCTGTAGGATTATGTTTCTGTTTAACTCTGTGTGTGTGTGTGTGTGTGTGTGTGTGTGTGTGTGCGTGCGTGCGTGCGTGCGTGCGTGCGTGCGTGCGTGCGTGCGTG